TTATAATAAAGTTAAATATAAATAAACACATTTTTACTTTTATACACATTATCATGTTACTTTGCATGTTAAAACAGTTTCTAATTCTTATTTGATCTAAATGTCTCCTCAAAATACCTTTTCTGTCTTAATTTGGAACATCATATCACTTTCTTTATGTGTGATCATACCTTTGCCTAATTTATCATCACCTTGTACTTTGTACCAAACAAAATCTCCTATGTTAAAGGTTCTATTACGTGGTAAAGTAACGTTTATTTTGTTCTCCTTCTCCTCCAACGGTTTTAATAAGTCCCATTTAATTCTAACATCTCGATTGAACATTCTCTGAGAAGGTGTAACACCTGTAGTATCATTACGCGTATTTCTGTAATTAAATAAAAAATTGCCAAGTGCGATATCTAGGTCAATTTTAATATTCCTTTTCATATGTGTTTTGAACGTTATCACCATGCGTTCTATCTGGCCATTGGATTGCTGGTGATACGCAGATGTGAGCACATGTTTGATACCGAAATTGTTGCAAAATTTTTCAAAATCGTTACTCGTAAAGTTAGTGCCGTTATCAGTAACTATAGTTTCAGGTATTCCATATAGCGAAATAGTTTTAAAGATTTCTTTTAAAGTAACATCTGTCGTAATATTTTTAACAGGAATAATAATTGGAAATTTGCTGTAGGCATCGACTATTATCAACCAATTTTTTGTGAAAAACGGACCCGCATAATCTATATGTATTCTTTCAAACGGTTTGATTGCCGAAACCAATGGTTTTTGTATCTTTATAGGATTATCATGATATATGTTACAATCGTCACAACTTTTCACTTCCATTACTATGTCATTATTTATACCAGGCCACCACATGTAATCTTTGGTTAAGGATTTTATTTTTCCTGCTCCCAAGTGACCTTCATGTAATGACTGTAGTATATTTTTTCTCATAGAAGACGGAATTATGATTCTGTTGCTTTTGTAAAGACAATCCTTAATTATACTTAATTCCAATTCAATATTTTTATAAATGTTATTCATTATAAGCCTGTTGTTATTAATATCATTTATGACTTGTTTTAATTCCATATCTTTCAAAGTTTCATCACGAATTTGATTAAAATTAATAGGTAAATCCCCATATTCATTTATTATAGTGATATTTTCAATAGTTTCATCATGACATTCTTGTGGTAATCTTGAGAGACAATCAGGAACAACGTTATATTTACCGGCTTTATACTTTATATTAAAATCATCTCCTCCTAATGTAATATTCCACTTCTGGAGTCTTAAGGACATGGTGCTATTATCCTTAAGACCCTTAGTAAAGATGTGAACTAGAGGTTTATGGTCAGTAAAATTGTAAATTTTGTGCCGATTAAGTATTCCTGGAACCTCTTTATAGCGAACATAATGGCGACAGCCTCACGCTCAATATTGGTATAGTTCATTTCGAATTTTAATAAAGTTCTTGACGCGAAAGCTATAGGTTTTTCTTTACCATCTTTTTCAGTATGAAATAGTACAGCTCCTAAACCACATTTCGATGCGTCAGTGGCTATCCCTATAGGTAATTCAGGGTTAAAATATGTCAAAGCAGGTGGAAGACTAATTAACTTCTTAAGATTATTAAAACTTTTAGAGTGTTTAAGGTTCCAAGCCCATTTTTCTTTGTTGACAATCTTATATAGAGGATCAGCAATTTCTGCAAAATTGTTCAAAAATTTTCTATAGTAGCCAGCCATTCCTAGAAATATTGATAATTCAGCAGCTGATTTTGGTTCTGGCATATTAATTATTGCTTCAATTTTGTCGTGATTAGTATGAATCCCTTTAGCGTCAATATCATGACCCAGGAACCTCACTTTGTTTTTAAAGAACTCACTTTTATTAAAGTTAGATATTAGCCCAAACGATGATATTCTATCAAACACTTTTTTTATGTTGTTAAGGTGGGCTTCATCGTTTTTTACAGTTATAAGTAAATCATCAATATAAAATATGACATCATCCATGTCACCGAAGATTTGATCCATAATCTGTTGAAAAATTGCAGATGAGGTCTTAAGCCCAAAAGGAAGTCTAGTAAATTGGTAATATACCTTGTGCGTAGATATGGTTAAAATATTTCTGCAACTTTTATCAATTGGTATCTGTAGGAAAGCATTTTTAAAGTCAATCTTCGTAAATTTATTTCCTTCTGAAAGTTTAGCTATTAGATCATTGATTCGCGGTAAAGGGTATCTGAAATCTTCTAGAGCTGGGTTTACAGTGTCCTTAAAATCAGCACAAAGCTTAATGCTCCGATCATCTTTGTAGACAGCGGTAACAGGACTTGCCCATCAGAATCATTTACCGGCTCAATTATCTTATCATGTATCCATTTCTTAAGTTCATTGCTAACAAGATCAATTTTTGAATAAGGAATACGTCTAGGCGGTATAATTTTAAGTTGGGCATCTCTTCTTAAATGTAACTTGACACTTGCTTTGTTGATTGGCCCATTAGACAATTTAGATTCACACTCTTTAATTAATTTTTTTATTTCATCTTCGTAATTAGTGTCAACATTTGCTATAAATTTATTTAAAATATTTTTGAAAGCATTGATCCATGTACGTCCCAACAAGGCATTTTTACTTGATTCGATGACTACCGCTTGTAAATATTTTGAGATACCTTCATAAGTCTCTTTGACTTGAGTGGTGCCGATGATCTTGATTAAATCTCCGTCATAAGTGGTGAGTTGTAGCTCGGATTTCTTAACATCTCTAATACCAAGTTTTTTAGCCAGACCATGAGGTATAATAGTAAGTTTAGAGCCTGCATCAACTTGCATACAAGTAACAATATCGTTCACTTTTAAGGTAGTCATAATTGCGTTATATTTGTTACTGAGCATGTCACCAGATAAGTTGTTAACACTGAAATCATTATCATCTTTGATCTTTGTAGAGTCAACTTTCTCTTCAATAATTTCTTCAATATTCATATTAGAATCATTGTTGTATTGTATTTGCTTTCTATTATTGTTGTCCCTATAATTATTTGAGTTATTGTTATATTGTATTTGTTTTCTCTGATTATTGTCATTGCCTCTATAATTATTTGAATTGTTGTAATAGGATTGGTAATTGTTACAATTTCCATCACCGTATTGGATCTGTTTTCTTTGATTATTATCACGCCATGTATTATTTCTACCATAATTAGATTGATTATTATTGTTATAGCGATAGTTATTGTAGTTATAGTTTTTATAATTATCGTGGTATCTCAAATTATTATTACCGTAATTCCTATCATTGTATCTAAAATTATTATTGTAATTCCCATTTCTATTTCTATTTCTATTATCATAATTATTTTTGTAATTATTTCTAAAATTATTATCAGGTCTAAAATAATTATTGTTGTCGTTTATATTTTTATTGTAAAAGTTTTTTAATTTATATTATCATCTGACTTATCGCTAATGCTGTCTAACTTGATCCCTAACTCGACCATCTCATTTAAAGTTAAGTTAATGTTTTTACAAAACTTATATTTTATCTTATCATTTAAAGTAGAAGTACGTAATTTTTCTTTTAATCTACTGTCGTCCGAAAAATTACATTTTTTATGCAGTTTCGATACTCTAATGTGCCACAGCATGAAACTCTCAGACGAGTTCTGCTGTAATAAATTAAATTTATTAATTAAAGTATTATAATCTTGCGCTGGTAAAAGGTAAGTTAACTTTTTAGTCACAATTTTAAATCTAGTATGTCGGTATCAGAACAAATTAATTTAATATTGTCAAAAACTTCGTCAGATAAATTATTAAGCAAAGTATTCATTTTAATAGAGTCCGATAATGTGCTGGTCGAAAAATAATTTAATATTCTGTCTAAATAAATCTAAGTAAGTGGTCCCACTAACTTAGAAATCTTATGTATAAACTCTAGTTTTATTTCCATATTTTATTAGTAAAACATATGTATAGAAAATTATAACATTTTATATTTTAACATTTTATATTTTGATATATAATTTAATTCAATGAATTCTGACTCATTGTATTAATAACTCAAAACAATTAATCATGTCTTTGAGGTTTACAAACTCAAATAAAACATCTTCGGTACCCCGTATTCTAAAGTAATTCACATCACAGTTATAAGTTAAATCAAACAATATGTCGTAAATAGAAATTTCGTGAGGAATGTTGATTAATTTAAAAGCAAACATGATAAAAATAATATCACAATGATTTTACCTTTTTTTTCTTCTTTATATAGAAATTTAGTTGCTTTTTATTTGAGTCTTGCTTTCTTAGATTTTCTTCTCAAAATATTTCACCTATAAAAAAAGTAAATAAATTTTTTTATAAATTATAAATATTATTTACCAGGATATAATAGTTGCTTTTTATTTGAGTCTTGCTTTTTATAAAAGATAAATAAATTAATAAAAATAAATAAATCCGTAGCGATGACATGACGTAGCGATGACATGGCGTAGCGATGACATGACGTCACAATGACGTAGTGAGGACATCGGAAAATTATAAAATAGATGTTGAAAAAATAAAAAATACATTTTTAAATAAATCGAATAAGTTAAAAAATAAATGTTATTTTTAATATAACATCTAAATATTTATAATATTAAGTTAATAAAAGCAAATAGAAATTGAAGTTAATACAATCGGACTTACTTCAAATTTAAATGCTAATAAGAACTAAGGAAATAAAAAACTAATCAAATTTAAATTGTTATATAATGAAAATAAAGAATTCACCTTAACCATAGATAACGAAAAGGATTTTTATTATTAGAATAAATACCAAGATTTTATTCCCAAAGCTAATAAAATTAGATTAAAATATTTTGGCGTTATAAATTTGTGATTTGTTATATTTATTTTAAAATAATAATATTATTAATATATTTTGCTATAAATCTACTTATTTATACGAATAATTGTAACTATTATAATTTCCGAGTTTTTTTTTAAATTATTAAAATAAATATGAATCCAATTTTTTACAAAATATTATATAATCCGCCTTTCTGAATATTTTCAAAACGTAAACGATTGTATAAAACTTATATATGCAAATATAATGGCACAACAAAATGATATGCCTACGTTTAAAGTAATTATTTATATATTTTCTAGTTTGTAAACTTTTAATTAGCTTGTACTAGTAGGTGATGGCGGTACTGGTAAAACAACATTTGTAAAGAGACATTTGACTGGCGAATTCGAAAAGAGATATGTCGGTAAGTATTGCGCATAATTTTTCTAATTCCGAATGTTTTATAGCTACATTGGGTGTTGAAGTGCACCCCTTAGTGTTTCACACTACTCGAGGTCCTATACGTTTTAATGTTTGGGATACCGCAGGGCAAGAAAAATTTGGCGGTTTAAGAGATGGTTATTATATTCAAGGTAATCCAAGATTAAATTGAAATTTTATTTTTATCACTTTATTTTCAGTTAAGTAAAGCATAATTTTTTTTAGGTTGTTATTTAAGTTATTAATTTAACAATATAAGTATAAATCATATTTTTATATCCCTTTTTATACAATGATTTTTCTCATAACTTTATGAATAATTAAAATATTCCAAACCTATGGCTTTAATAATTAAATGTATATTATTGCTAAATATATAAACAAAAATAAATTTGATATTAATTTAATTCCAGGTAATTGTGCTATAGTTCTTTTTGATGTGACATCCCGTATTACATATAAAAATGTACCTAATTGGCACCGAGATTTAGTTAGGGTATGTGAAAATATCCCAATAGTACTTTGCGGTAATAAAGTTGATATAAAAGATAGGAAAGTTAAAGCAAAATCTATAGTTTTTCATCGTAAAAAAAATTTACAAGTACAATTTAATTATCATTAATATTTTTACATATTTATAAATCATTTGGATACTGTATTAATAAAAAAATAATTTTTCTTAATTTGAGAACCATTGAAACCAAATTTTGTTCATATAAAAAAGCACTTACTGATTATCAATATCAGCTAAAAAAAATTTATCATTACCATAAGCTATACCAAATTATTCAAATCTTTAAAAAAGTTGAACAATTTTTGATTCATTTTATTAGAGATCACAAAATATAATATATTTTTAAAATTATTAGTATTATAGGTATTTATTTTATTATTATTATTTAATAATAATAATCTTGAGTTATAAAGTTCTACAAAAAAATTAAATATTTATTAGAGTAAATCGATTTCTATTTTAGTGAGAATATTAACTCAAATTGGCCAATTCTATGAATTGTTAATAAATATGCCACTTCTCTTAATAGACATGGTGGGCAATTTTACTAACTTGAGGCCAGAATCTGATTGTTTCTTATAAAAGTACTACTTTCCACATAATTTGCTACATGCCACTTTTACTTCTGAAATTTATAATATCATTTGAAATATTTTGATCATCAACATATTTCAATAAATCACTATGAGTGCGATGATTTTCTTGATATTGAGAACCTATTAAATAAGCAGCATTGTGATCACATACATTTTTTATTGTTTTTTCTTTTTTCAAACATATTTTTATTTTTTTCTTCAGATTTTTTAGAGTAATTAACCATGTTAAATATTCTCTTCAATTGACTGAATTTGACTGGTTAATTGATTAACTTGTCAACCCTGTTATAACGAATTAATATTCTAGATTTTATACTGGCTATATGTAGAATAATATATATTTTAATAAACCTGTTAGAATATGATGTATTTAGTAATACAGTGGGAAATGGAAATTGCTTAAATGAATAAGTGAAATGTGGTATGTGCGGATTGACATTTTGATGAAACAAAATATTATTGAGGATATTTCAAATATTTAATCTTTGGGCCTTGGGTAGGGCTACCTCTTATGACCCAAACCCTAGCCTTGTCTAAGCCAGAGTGTCTGGCCTTGGACATCTCTTGCAGGGCTATGGGTGATGGTACTAATTAAATATTGAGTATAGATGAAAATATATATAATAATGATTATCATGGTTTATATATTATATTAGTAAGAATTAAGAAAATATATAATCAGTGAATTATAGTTTTATACAGATTTCTATATAAGATTAGTTAATTTTTTAATTTGTGTTTACCTTCTGATGATTATGAATCATGAACATTAAAAGAGTAAAAATTATTCTGTTGATAATGATTATTACCTTTAAGTTTGTATAAATTTTTTTTACTTGATCAAAGAAAATTTTATATATTGAATACCTAATTATTAAAAAATGACAGTTATGTGACTTTTTTCCTTGATTATTTTAGTTATGAAAAAATTTTAATTTCATTTAAAAATTCAATGGACAATTTTGAAATGAATTTTTCCCCTGCAAGGTTTAAAAAAATGAATAATTATATTCTTTTTTTAAAATTGAATGTCAAATAAAATAAAGTATTTAGTAAATGCTTTATTTTATTCTCTCAGTATTCAAAATTTAATGTGTGTTGTAATGCTATCTACATATTTACTAAATTGTAAGATTAATTTAAAAAATATATATTTTAAAATTAGTATTATGACATCAGTGCAAAAAGCAATTACAATTTTGAAAAGCCCTTCTTATATTTGGCCCGCAAGCTTTTGCAAGATCCTAATCTGGAATTCGTTGCCATGCCAGCTCTTGCACCACCTGAGGTTCCTTTAGACCCAGAATTATTGAATCAATATGAACAAGAACTAAAGGTGGATTATATTATAATATATTTAACAAGATAAAGGCACAATTTCTCGTTAATTGGATAATGGTTCTACAAAATGGGTTTATCACCTAGAACCATTGTAGACCAAACCTGATTTTATAATATAATTAGAATCAGAAATATATCATGCAAAATAATTTTTATAATTGCAAAGAAAATTAAATAAACTTTTTATGATTGTAGAAAAACAGGATCTCTAAATTTGTTTTTTTATTATGCTGTGTTTATGCTTTATTCATTTTTTATTTGTAAAATTCAATTACAAATCCATGCTTTGTTTATTTATAACCCTTGTTTTTGTAATAATATTTTTAAATGTGAAATTCAGTTGCATGGGAATTATAATTAATATTTGCTTTGGACTTGACAAATTTTTGTAATATAATGCAGGACTTATTTTTTGAATCTAAGGTTTCAAACTTTTTGGTACCTTATAGTAGGTTATCAGAAAAATATAATACATTTTACTAACATGGATCGAAGTCTTAAAGACCTATAATTAATATATTAAGAATTTGAAAACTACAAATTTTTAGTTTTCTGTGTTTTTAAAGGCCCAAATACTTTTCTTCAATATATTTTTACACTATTTTGGATAAAAATAGCTGTTTTTTTTGTAAGCTCATATATCTTTAGGTATTGACATTTAATCATAAATGATGATAGAAAATACCATTCCTGATAAAATTAATTTTCTTTGATTCCAATCCTAATCTAGTTTTAAATCAAATATCGTTTAAATTACATTCAATGCTGCATTTTTCTCCTTTATCAAGATAAAATATTTCAGCAGGCTCACTGTCATAGCTTAAAATTATTAATTAACAAATCGATCACGATTCAGCCGACCCCTTTTAAAATTGTTAAAAATTTCTGAAATTATTTAGATAGTTAAGAAAATGAGAAAGCCGTTTATTTTAGATCGCTAGCACTCTGGTTCCCGAGATATAGGGACTCAAAGGTGCAAAAAAGAGCCACTTTGGAATCTGTAAAATTTTTAAAATGCTTATATCTCAAAAACTATTTATAGTAAAATAATATATCAAATTGTAGGTAAAAAAATCTCTAAAGAGCTATCAAAAAACAGGCGCCAATTTGAGCCGTTAACTTCTGGATTACCTATTTTACTTTACCTGTGTTTTTAAGCAAAAAAGGGAGTTTGTTTTCGAATTTTTTTTATTGCTTTTTATTTAGACACCTTAATTAATGAAAAAAATAGATGGCGCTTTATGAAATTACGGATTATGGTTAAAATTTTGCTGCTAACTTATCAATAACCGGATATTTTCACTTTTTATACTAAAAAATTTTGAATTTCTATTAAATATACTAATTAAATTGAGGAGCAGAGTGGGAATATGCCCTATAGACACTTAATAATGTAACAAATTTCCAATAATAAATATCTTTCATATAATTTTTTTAATTTTTAAGGTATCTAGAATTTCATTGAATTTTTCATCATTTGATGAAGATAATAGTATAATTTTAGTTGAAACTTTTTTTCTTTGAATATTTCTTTTCACATAAGCATTTTCTTTTAATGGGAGATTCCCCATTTGATTGTAGGGATATATTAGTGTTATCAATAGCCTCTTGATTAATTATATGAGGGGAATCAATATCTACATTGTCATTTGAAGTATAAGGAATGTTTGCTAATTTTTGTCGGCATGAAGAGCATATTAATATCTAAATTGAATAGTAAATTTTTTTGGGTCATCCAGGGTAGAATCTTTCTTAGATTCTCGTGATAATAAGCATGTCTCTGTAGATTAAATGGGTTGCAACATTATCTGTGATATAGAATAAAATTTTAATTGATCTGCACCTAGAATACATGTTTTTGCATTCTCCAAATCCAGATTGTTATTGGTAGACAAACTATAAAATTAATCTGAACGGACAGGTCAAAATTATTTCTCAGAAAGAGAGATCGTTTTAAACAATTTATTTTGTAAAATATAATCGAATATATGCCTAATATTTTTACTGCAGCTGTTATATATTATCGAGCTAATAAGTCATTCGCTTGCTATAGTAGCAAAGTAGAGATCTAAAAAATGTAAAACATTTTAATGATAGTGGGAGGGGGGGGGCAGTACTGGAAATTTTTATCACAATTCTAATAAACGTATCAATATTTTCATTTTCCTTAAGAAAAATATTTTTCAACCATTAGCGATATCTACTTTTTTCTTCAATTTTTGATAAAAATGTATATCGGAAAAGTCGATAGCGTCGCCAAGGTTTTGACATCGTATATATATTTGTAAAAATTTCGAAAGTAAACTCTATTTTGCTTAAAAATACAGGTGAAGCAAGATCGGTAAACCGAAAGTTAAAGACTCAAATAGGCGCCAATTTTTTTTGATAGCCTTTTAGAGATTTTATTTGTCTACAATATGATATATTATACATTTTTTTTACTATTAATAGTTTTTGAGACATAAGCATTTTAAAAATCTTACAGATTCCAAAGTGGCTCTTTTTTGCACTTTTGAACCCCCTATATCTCGGAAACCAGGTACTAGCGAGCTAAAATTAACGGCTTTCTCTTTTATATCTATCTAAATAATTCCAGAAAATTTTAAAAAGGGGTCGGCCGCCTTTTTTGATCGATTTGACATAAAATGGCCCAGCCCATATGCATTACGTGAATTATTAAAATATGGGATTCATACTGAGGCAATTGTTAAATTTGGAAAATTTAATTTGAACAGAAATATATTACATTTATAGGTATTTCAGATAATCTTCACAAATCTTTTAACCACTTATTTTTTCTTATAAGTTGATAAAGTTTATAGTGAAAATTATCGGAAATTCAGGTCTCAAATTAGACTTTCCAAATTAAAAATCGACATCTTGAAAGATTCCGAATCTTGATAGATTCAATATTCCAATACCACATATATAACGCACTTTATTAGAGGCAAATTTTTTTTATAAATGACATGGTTTCAAAAAATTAAATTAATTATTGCATGAAAGATTCTTTTTTACAAAAATTTTAATTAATGGTTTTATAAAATAATGACTGGAACTCAAACATATAAAATAATAGTTCATTCATTTTTTATAAATTTTTGAATTAATTTATAAAATGACTAGAACTAAAAAGTAATTGATAAAGTTGAGGGACAACATTAGTAGTGATTGGGGAGAGGAATTAATTTAGTTGTAAAGAGGTAGGTTAAAAAATATTTGTTAAAAATAGTGTTTGTAATGTTTATGGAAAAAGTCAATTATAATTATTATTTTATGCTATGATAATTCTTTTTTAATAAAAATATAGGCTGCTCAATCTGCAGCATTACCTGATGATGATGAAGATTTATAAAATGCGGATAATATCAATAATATGGCCTAAATCATTCGTTTTTACAAAATTTAATTTTTAAGTTTATAATATTTTAATACAAATATATGTGATGACATAACCAATATGAAATAATTGTTTTATTTGTTAATAAATAGTGTTTATAATGATGTTAATTTATATCACAAGATTTTTTGATTCAAAATTAAATCTTTGAATATTCCTACTTAATTAATTGTATGGTTAATATTTATTTCACCTATAACCCTTCAATGGTATAGTACATGTGTGTTATAACAGCGTTCCTACACTAATTAGAATTATTCATATTTATATAAAATTTTAATTATATTGTACACAATTTGCATAAAAATATATTATTGTTATTGGATCAAATATGAAACTATTGTAAATATAAAAATTATTGTAAAATAACTCGATTGTATAGGCAGGCGTCAATAATAATTTATGGGTCAATTTATATTCTATCAACATGTCATGCATTGTTTTCACTTTTTAGTAGGATTTTTAAAGAATCATAGTTAGACTGTTTTAAAAATATAGTACCCTTTTATATTCTAGATAAAACAGGACAAACCTACCTCATTGATTTCCTAATTGGCGTCTGAGCTGCACAAACTACTTTAAAAATTCGTTTTATTTAATCATATATGGCAAGTAACAATTTAATTAAATACCTATTAGTTAATTATCATTTAGCATATCATAAAAAATGAATATATTAATGTAACATTAGGTTAGCTAAAATTCTGAGTTTGATATAGTAAAAAAAATTCTATTAAAGCTACTCACCTGGATGAAATTTTATTCAGAATATTTATCTTGCTTGAAAGGAAATGAATGAAATATTTTTAGGAATTATCATTTGAATAATAAAATGCATAATTTATTTTTAATATTATAAAATAATAAAACATTAAAAAATATTTTTTACGTATTTGAGATCTTTTGAATGATCATGGATTTTAAAATAATAAAATTTCAAACATCCAAACCTTGTTTTAAGTCACTTATTGTTTGACAAATTATAAATATAATTAGTTTAACAATCTATCACACTTGATTATGTTATGCCTACAATGGAATTCCTTATATATTTAGAGCTGCACATTTTTATTTCTTATTGTTATATTTTTTGTAAAAGCTCAAACGTCTACATTTCTTAAAAAAGCTTGATTCTAAAAGGGAATTCTATTTTTGAATTTTACCATTTGTAAACATTAATATATATTATTGTCCTCCAATTCTTATATAAGAACTGCTAAATAAGACAACCATGATCTTTAACAAAACTTATTAAAAATAAGGTGTGGGGGGATTTAGTAAATACAATTAACACAATATTAGAATATCATAAGATATGCAAACGTGAACTGGAATTGGCCAAAATGCGGTTTATAAAATTTAAAATCTGGACCAAATTTTAAAGAAGTGATTAATCATTGAGAATTGTTTTTGAATATTTTGGACTGCATTGTAAAATAATAGGAAATCTCAGCCTGAGTTTGAAAATAATTATTTTACAAATCCATTATGCGCATGATAATGATTTTTTTACATCTTGCTTGGCCGCACCTAAAATTTCGATCTCTACAAGTTTTGTTTTCATAAAAATGAGATTTTGTGTAAAAAATTTTAAAAATATCTTATTAAATCTTAGTCAAAATCTTTTAGTTTTGCAACTAGCTTTTTAAAAATTTAATTATTTTATCATATTTGATTCTTTGAAAATTATATAAATTTAATATTTTATTCAATTTAGATGTTACATATACATCATATAATATAAAATCTATTGGTAATTGCAATTATACTACATAAAAATTATGAAATATTTATAAAATATTACTTTAAAAGATACTTTTTGAATGGATCTAGATACAGATACATCATCTAAAAACGTAGCTAGACACATACAATTTTTATAATATGTACAGGGTTCACCATTTTCTCGAACAGAAACTCTTATTATGAGAGCATAAAATATGTATACAATATTTTTATTCTCATTCAATTCGAATATTATATATAATAATAAAAAAATGCCAATTAGAGATCTGAAAGTAGACTCGGCCCGAACGGGCTTCGGGGCCAGGCTTATTTTTTTGAAAAAAATCGGGATCATTTGGGTCGGGCCTAATATATTTAAAAAAATTCGGGTCGGGCTTTGAATTTTTTTTTAAATATATCCAAATTTATCAATTTTATGTTGCTTTTTTTATGTAAAATAAAAATATTTTATTTTATTTATAGAAACTAGACGCCATATATAACATATATCTTTTATTTTGCATAAAAATATTTGATTTTATTTATAGAAACTAGACGCCATATAACATATATCTTTTATTTTGAGTAATTATAAAAATTAATTTCTATATTAAAATAAATTCGGGATGGGCCGGCAAAACTTTCTAAACGGGTTTGGGCCAGGCCTGTAAAACTTTTTAAAAAAATTTCCGGCCGGGCTTGAAAAATTAGGCCCGATCCAGATCAGTAATGTCAATATCCCTATTTTTGTCATTCTTTCGAACAAATTCTCATTTGAAACGAGCATTTATTTAAAAAATTTTTTTTTACATTAGACTTATAAATTCTTCATTAAAAGTTAGGTGAATATCTAAAATTTTTTTAAAAATTAAAAATTTATTTGCTTATTTGTGCATCAATGGTGTCGTTTTAAAAATAGGCGTTATGGCAGGTCCGTGAAGTTGGCAGATTGAGGATATATTAACAAAACCTATGCCAATATTTAGTCTTAATTAATTTTCAAACCAGACACCGGCTAAATCAAAGCTTAGTGAGTTATAAGGAAAATGTGGAATGATGTCTGCGGAACGACTTGAGTATCAATTATTGAAACTTATACCATTGTGTAACCCGTTAATTGTTCTACAATTAGGACAACAACGGAATCAGATGTTATTGAGTTATAAGCAAAATAAGATAATATTTAATGAATATTTATAAATTAATTTTATATATAAGTTTTAAAATTTTATATATATATAAGTTTTAATATTATATATATATTTTTTATCATTTTAGCCTTACTTATTTTAATATATATTTATTTAATATGCCCATATGAAATAAAATGAATTTTGCATTTGAATATTTTTATAAAAACGTTAAATATAAATATATCAAAATGTATCTTTAAAAATTTCTTAAAATAGATACAGATATCTCGAAAGTAGGATATAGATAGAGATACTTTAAAATGAGTGTATCTAGATAAAGATATGATATTTTTATATCCTTTAACAACTGTAAAATATGATATATAGTTGAAAGTTCTTGAGAATTTGTATTTTCATATGTTAAACATTTGTTGAAATAATTTAACATGTTGAGAATTTTTGAATCTTATTTCATCTATGATAGGTAAAGAATAAGGGAATAGAGATATTGCTAGTGTTATGTGAAAGTAAACATTTTAAAATAAAGTAGTTTTTAATAGCTGAAATGAATATTTATGATTATTTTTCATAAAACATCTTTAACTAAACCATAGATTTGTATAACAATTTAATATTTATGTATTACAAAAAAAAAGTTTATAATAAGTGTCCCAGTTTTATGCAATTTTAAAGATATGTGTATTAAATTTATGCCTACATAAAATTGAATCGATTAATACTATTCTTCACATTCGATTCGATTCAAAAACTTTTCTAAAGCTTATAAAAAATAAATAATTTTTTGAAAAAAAAATTATTAAATGACATTTTTAAGGATTCTTTAAACTATATGTCATTAGCATATCAAAATTTATAGAATAAAAATCCAATGATTTCATATAACGTTATCCAAACAAATTGGATGAACACCCGATTTTTAGAATTAGAATTACTTTATAAAAATATCTAAATTATTTCTTCATTAAAATTTTCCAAAAATGTACAATGATATCATTTTATAAACATCAAAATATAACATAAAAAATATAATTATGCTAGATCCGAATTTGACATTAAACAGTTTTTCAAGCATTAAGTCTTTCTAATGGTTTCTTCCTTCAAATACATTCTATTCTATTCTTCATTATCATATTTGTCCCTATTGAGAATAACCGCTCGCATGAAGCCGAAGATCCCTGAATGGACAATATAACAGTTGCCATTTTCGACAACACGGGAAAACTATCCCTATGCAATCTCCACCATTCTAACAGGCTTTTATTAGAAGTGTTTCTTAATTCATTAAGTTATATATTTCAACCTCACATATCGATGAGGTGATATTTTGTTTAAAAATTTTATCCATATTTGTACTATTTGGGTTAACTAAATTTTTTTTTTTTTCTTTAGCTTTCACCTTTTCTGGTGGTAAGCTCCTTCAACATCTCTCTCCACTTTATGTTATTCATACAATCTCTTTTATCTATTTTATACTTCTTTATATTGGCTCTAACTTTATGGCCCCATTGAAGTTTTGGCCTTCCTCTTTTACGTTTGCCCATCACTTCCAAACTTTCAATTTTATTTCCTATGTAGTTCATAGGCCTTCTCATTGTGTGCCCATACCACCTAAGTCTGTTTACCATTAACTTATTGTTGTATGTCCCATATACATATCCTGTATTATTCTTATATATTTTTCGGGAACTTTTTTGTGGCGTAGCGCCCACCAGATAAGTTTTCTTGGGATTCTATCGAAGGCCTTTTCTAGATCGAGAAAGGCCATGTGTAGCTTTTTGTTCTTTTCCCTGTATTTTTCACTCATTTGCCTAATTGCATGGATAGCATCGGTTGTTGATCTTCCAGGCATAAAGCCAAACTGAGTCTCTCCTATTTCGATTATATCTCTTAATCTTTTTTCTATTATTTTTTCGTATAGTTTTAGAGAGTGTGACATTAGTTTTATGCCCCTGTAATTTTGACAATTGTGTGGATCCCCTTTATTTTTGAAGATAGGAACTAGATAGCTCTGCCTCCATTTTTGGGGAACCTCTTCATTTCCAAGTATTTTATTGTACAGATTTGTGAGGAGATGTATTACATCATCTCCTAGTGCTTTAAGGCTTTCTATTGGAATATCGTCTGGACCCCTAGCTTTGTTGTTTTTCATATGCTTGAGGCATGTGATTATTTCTTGTTCTGTAGTACAAGGTTTTGACAAGGGGAGTGTTCGTCGAGATGCAATATGTGGGAATTAAAATTGAGAAGCTCCTGAAAATATTCTTTCCATCTATTCATTATTTCTTTTTCCTTTATTATCAATTTCCCATCTTTATTTTTGATTACTTTCGGAGCTCCGTTTATATCCCTAGAGTTCTTTTCTCGCTGTTTGGCTAATCTGTATAGATTTGGCTCTAGCCACCGCCTTTGTAGCTAATCTCTTGGATTTTTTGTATCTTGACTTGTCATCTGCATTTTTGGATTTGTACCATATTTTATAAAGGGCTTTTTTCTCCTGTGGTTTGTACCTCTTGATTCCACCACCATAGTTCT